TATACAAGGACTCATGATAAATTCATGCTTGGGGTTATTTCCAGGAAACATTTTGTCTCTGCAGATGAAGATGTGTATTTTCTGCTGTCAAAAAATAAAAACTCTGCCATCCGACGTGTTTCCATTTTTGCTTGAGCTGACAAATAGGGATACCCAGTTTTATTACCTTATTACTTCCATGTGTTCTGACCATTCAGGTGCCTCAAAGTAGCAACTCTTTCTGTTTTCCTTAGATGGAGTCACTTTTTGCTTTACTCTTCCATGCTGTAATTTTTACCTTTTAATCTGAAAGCCCTCTCAAATCATCTCAGCAGCAAGTACCTTAAATCTTAATGAATGCATACTGGTAACCAACGTCCTGGCATGAAAACTATGGAAGGAAAGGCAGAACTCAGAATTTCTAGTGGAGAGGAATCCCATCGAGAGCCTCTCCAAGAATTTCTGGGGTAGCTATCGTGACAGGGCCCGGCAGGACGACCAAAGCAGGAGCAGAATGTCAACTGGATTCCGACTCTTGCTACCTTATTGTATCTTGCTTGGAATAACAGCTTCCAAGCTGCCACAGCTTCTATGTCTGCCATAGCTGCCAAGACATAGTCTCTCTCTCCACCAGCTATGGCCTTCCTTTTCCCTAACTTCATTTCTTTTTTTTGTATTTATTTATTTATGCATAGAAGAACTGGGGCACAGGCCAGAGATGCGGGGGGTGAGAGAATTCACCAGAGACAGAGCAGGTAACAGAATAGACAGACTGACTGAAATACACTGCTGAGGGGAGCAGCGGGCACAGCAGGAGAGGTCTGCTACACCATGTGGGTTGCTCCCTGGCCGGCTGGGGATTGAACTCATGCTGCAGAGGCTGCGGATTGCTTCATAATATGGTGCTTAACCCCTTGCGCCACCAAGGAGGCCCACGGGAGCGATCTCACAGGCTCCAGTGTTTACAGCAGTATAAACAGTAACAATACTAATAATCACCGAGCCAGATACTGTGCTGAGAACTTCAAACATGCCTTTCCCTATTTGAATCTCTCCCCTCTGAACTACCGCTTTTCCCACTTTGCAGATGACAAAATGCTGGAGAATTTAGGCATGTACAGAGTCACACTAGTAGATAGAGCAGGAATTCAAATTCAATGTGTTTGTAAACACCATCCAAACTTAACAGTCTTCTCACATGTGGCAAGGAATAGAGGCAAAAATCCCCCTGGGAAGCTACAGGGTTTGCTGATGATGTTGCCAGAAGGGAGAAGTCCCAGAGTCATAGCTTTGCTTCTAGAACGCACTAGTGTCCTTACAAAGTCCTGGAAATGACTGGCTGCTTTGGAGCCAGATTCAGGTGCTAGGACCAGGCCCTAGGGAGGCCCATTTCCATGAAATAGCTCTACCCTCTTTGTCCTCCAGGTCTGATGGTTTGTCTGTAAGAAATGTGCTTGGCATATGGACCCACTTCTTATCCCCACTAGGCACCATCAGCATGAGAACATTTTTTTTTAGGGGCCTACCAAGAAGTTTGAGGCCTGAAAACATTTTTGTAACAGCTCCACAATTCAAAGAGGGAAAGCAACATGGAAATCAGTAAATATTTAATTAAATGCCAAATCTAACATTATGTCAACTTCATTAACTGTTGAATTTAGTAGTCATAAAATTTTCATTACATTTGATAACAATTTGTAGGTTGGAGTTTTCTCACTGTGCAAGATTCCCCCGGGTAGGCACGGCAATTGGGGAGAAATCATAGCCAACCGAAAATTAAATAAATTACTCATGGCCAAAACTTTCAAAAGCAAAATGGCAAAAACCTTCTCAATTTTTTTTTTTTTTTTAACAGTCCCAAAGTACTATTTGTGGTGAGAGGTGGGTGTGTTTCAGATATGTTAAATGAGAATTGAGTCTCCCAAAGTAGGCTGGCTTAGGAACTATAGTGATCTGAGGGGAGCTGAGGCTGCATCCATTTCTCTGAGTTCTCCAAACCCCCTGTGTTTGTGTGAGTGACAGAAGCCAGGGGCATGGAGTCTTTGGCTAGAGAATAGGTAGGAAGAACTGCCTCCTCCTGGGGTTTTCTTAGTTCCAACTAGAGAAGGCCAGAACCCCAGAATCCTAAATAACAAGAGCTAACATTCAATGGGTGTGGAGCACAGTCCAGACTGTGCTAAACACGACACATTTATTATCTCAATTGTCACAAAACAGCAATATGAGGTCAGTGTTTTATTATCCCTGTTTCACAGATGAGCAAACGGTGGCATAAAGAGGTTAAACAATTTGCCCTGGATAATAGGGGTAGGAGGGGTAAGTTAAGAATGTGTTCAAACTAAAAATAACTTAGTGATGGTGTCTATGGCCACTGAATGCTTTATTCAAGCTCTAAAAAAGGTAGGGACCAGGACTATCTTCATATATAGATACAGTTACATGTAGGTATAGATTCAGCACCGTCAAGGTGTTGAAGATGGAATAGTGAATATATATGTATATTTCATATATATGTGCAAGTGCTGGAGGAACATAACCACATATTGGAAGGAGGCTAGAATAAGCTGGGTTTTTCTCACATCTGCTGTGTTTCAGGTACTTAGAGCATTCAGGAATGCTCTACCCGCTTTGCTAGCCTGTGCCAATGCCTAAGCTAGAGGTCTTATTCATCTCCTAGCCCTAAGCCTGGACCACATGGTCCATGGTAGGTGGTCAAAAATGAATAAAGCCTAGAAGGGCTTAGTTGATGACTTGAATCCATTCCTCCATCATACAATTTCCCAGGGCAGCAAAGCTCTCTCTCCCTATACATAGCACAAAGACTGTTATTTAGAAACTCCAGTGGCATACATTTCAGCGTAATCAAAGGGAACTAATACACTGCACTTTTATGTGTCTCTCATGTGCCAGGTGCTGTTCTAGGGACTTTGCATGTATAAAATAAGTGCCACTGAGCCCTTGAAATGTGGCTAAGGTAATTAGAAAACAGACATTTTCATTTAATTTACATTAAATTAAAATTAAAATAGCCACATGTGGGTAGTGGCTACCATATTGTATGTAACTTTATGCTATTTCTAAGTAAGTATACCACTTATGTTTTTGATAGAATCTTCTAGAAACTTCAGCTGTGTCCTGAGAAACATGCCTCTATCTTTCTTCCCTATTCCTGTTGTTTTTTTTTTTGTTGTTGTTGTTGGTTGGTTGGTTGGTTTTGTCTGTTTATTTTGTAATCCTTTCTAGTTTAGCCCATTGTCTGGTCTCCTGTTTAAGGAGCAAGAAAATGGAAGGAGTGAATGAGCTGGCTAACGTTCCCACATCCTGGGGCCTGGGCAGGTCATTGGCCTTCTGCTCCAAGCATAGGTGTTAGCCAACCAAATGCCAAGCAGCACAAACACTGAGTGACATTTTCAGAACTATTAATATTTCATCAGAAATGATCACTTTTCTTTAAATACACTATCTTAAAAGGTTTTCTACATTCTTAACTATAATTTTATTCAGTCTAGGTCCTCGGAATTTTCCCCAAAGGAGCACATCTTCAATTTTATAATGAAAATCAAAGGGGAATGAAAAGCTCAGATTTCAAAATTTAGAGTCAACATTTCCAGGCACTCAGCCCCTCTGTAAAGAGCAAGTTTGCATATTGGGCCAGGCACTTTACATACAGTATAACATTAATTCATCCAACACATTTTTATTGAGTGCCTACTATGTGCCAGGAATTTGATCTTCATAATAAATTCATAACACCATCCTGCAGAAAAGCATTCTTTTTCATGCAACTCTTTCATGTCAAATGCCTCCTCAAAGAGGCCTACCTGGGGCCATCTCAGGCTGCTTGCTCCTTTGGCGAATTTCCAAAAGAACCCTAATTTCATCTATATTACTGCACATTTACTTGCTTTGCTAGTTAGTGATCTGTCTCTCTGGGAGACTATAGAGACTCCAGGAGAGCAGAGACCGGCCAGCAAGGTTCACCTTCATGCTTCCTCCTGCCCAACCACTCACCTGGCACAGTGCAAGGGCTCTTCTAGGGAACATGCACGTGAATGGGCAAAGTGAAAAAAAAGCTGTTAGGGTCACTATGGCTAGGAAGTGGCTGTGTCAGGATTCAACCCAGCCCTGTAACTACAGGCTGCTTTTTCATCTGTTTTTCTCCATGCTTTCCCTCCTTCTTGTCCCTCCTTTCCTGGGGGAAGGCTTGAACCATCACTAGAAGCTGCCGCCAGAGGGGAGGAACCGCTGAGCAGCAAGCAGCTTACTTAGCCCTTCTCCCTGCACCACTGGCCCCACCCCCTCTGCCACCAGTCAGCGCCTCCACCCCCACACCCCAGGCCTCCGGTTCCCTGCCCGCCCCCCCAAACCCCACCCCACGCCACCTGCTGACCAACAGAGCTACCAGGTCAGGCTGGGGGAAGCCTGGGTTTGAATCCCAGCTCTCCCCTTCCTAGCGGGGCCTTGGGCAGACACCGCTGTTGCCTCAAATGTAGAACGATAATAAATAACGGTAGTAACTTCACGAGCTTGAGCTTCTTAGGACTGACTAGGACAACACAGCCCAGCGGCTGGCACCCAGCAAGCGCCCACACGGCAGCGGTTGGGGAAGACCAGGCCATCAGCAGGGGCGCGCTGTGTGCCCAGCGAGGGGTGGGGAGAGGCGAGTGGAGAAGCGGTGCCCTCGACCTCGAACCTGGAAAGCCGAACACGCCAACCCCCATCCCCACGCCACCCCACCCCCACCCGCCGGAGGGCCTTGGGCACCGAACCTGGGGCGCCCCGCGCACCGAGCCGTTGCGTTTGAAACCCACAGAGGAATTCCAGCGCCGGGCGAGGAGAAGGGTGTGGTGGGAGTCGCCGGCACACAAATCGACCTAAGCCGCCCAGCGGGGCGCGGAGACAGCGCCCCTTGAAGGCACTTGGTCCCTTCTCCGGGCCGAGCGCGCTGCCCGCCACGGGAGGGGCCCGTCGGGGTGGCCGGGGGCGCCGGGGGCTGCGGGCGGCCTCACGCCAAGGACTTCCCCGCCGTGGGCAGCAGAGGGGCACTGGAGAGCGACCCCCGGGGGACAGTGTGCGAGCCCAGGGGGGACCTGCCTGCCGGGGGCGGAGGGCCATTGGCCCTCAGGGGGCGCGGGTCGCTGGGAAGGCCAGAGAGGGCATCTAATGGCGGGCTCCTGCCCCTGCGGTGCCTAGCACAGTGCCAGGCCGCACCCAGCCATCCCCTAGGCTTAGCGGGGAGAATGGGCTGAGCCCCAGGGCTGCAGGGTGTCAGGGCTTCTCGCAAGGGGGGAGTGCCAGGGACTGTGGGGAGAGCCAGCCCTCCCCCTCCAGCAGTTCCCAGATGTCATTCTGCCCGCCTAGGCGCCTGGTTCCTGAGCTCAGGGGGATTCCACAGTTACTAAGCTACTGGTTTTTGTTGACTTTTAAATATTTTCTTCTAAGGGAGAGGGGGAGGGGGGCCAAAGTCAGGAAAGAGCAAATAAAAACAAATCAAAATAAGCTCCCCCTCCCCAAAAGAAAGCTGTCCTCCATCCCCCACTCACACACAAATCCAAGACCTCTGAGCACAGGAACCTTGCTGGAGCAACAGCCGGACAGAACTGAACTATTTCTGCCCCATCCGCCTCTCCCTTTCTGGTGAATGAGGGGTGGCGGTGGATGGTCCCCCTGTCTTCGAGCCCTGGGTGGACAAAAGGGCTTCCTGAAAGAGAGGAGGAGGATGGCCAGTGGCAACGGGCTCCCTTCCGCCTCGGCCCTGGTGGCCAAGCGCTCCTCCGCCCTGGGCCCGTTCCCCAGATACATCTGGATCCACCAGGACACACCCCAAGACAGCCTCGACAAGACCTGCCATGAAATCTGGAAGAGAGTTCAGGGTCTACCTGAGGCCTTGCAGCCCAGGTCCTCCAGGGAGCAGTTCTCTGCCCCCATGTCTGGGACTCCAGGAGACAACAGGCTCAGCTTCCAGGAAGAGTGAGTATCCATCCCCTTCCTGGGTGGCATCAGGGAGGAGGGAAGGGACCGGGTCTGACCTGGGAGAAGGTTCTGGTCTATCGTTCAGTCTGGTGAAACCCTACAGTCTGCATGCTTTTCCTCCATACCCCACCATCCTTTGTCCAGAGTTCTTGGTAGGGCTGACTGGGGTCCTAAAGTTGCATGGGGGACTGTATTCTGCTGCCCAGTAAGGGGGTATTTCTTATCCTGAAGACATAGGCAATGCAGATGTACACCTTAAAAGCTACCCAACACTGAGGCAACAAGAAGATCCTTCCCCCAGCCACCCTCAAAGGCTAGGCGTTGGCACAGATGAGTGTGGTGGTTTTAAACCACATCTGGAATTCCCTAATACAGGGAGCAGCTGTCCCATTCAGCCTCCACAGAAGCCGCTGCAAGAGCACACATCAAAATATTTACTGGGAAGGCATTGACATATTCAGAGGACATAATGGAAAATTAAAGTGCGGGAAGATGGCTGTAAATAGCCCGTTTCCTGGATGGGAAATCCTGTGTCTGGGAAACACAGAGCTAAATGTTTCTCCACCAGGGCAAAGTCAGGCAGATAATGTTGGGGATGGTTATTCACAAGGAGAGGATGGAGCAGAGAGAAAGAAGGGAGCTCGTTAGGAAGAAGCAAGTAAATCCGCCGTGGTTATTAATGCCACTGTTGAGCACTTGTTCAGTGCTTTGCATCTTCAAAGTGGGCTGCAAACATTAATTAATCCTCCCAGAGTCCCTATGAGGCAGGTATTAGTGTCCCCATTTTACAGATGGATTAAGTGTTAATAATTAAGTGCTAATTAAAGACTAAGTGATAATTAAGTGTTGCCTGTTCCGACACATGCTCCAGCTCAGTTCAGAGATGCTCTGGAGTGGGGGAACCATTCAAGCAATTATGCATTGCATCTGGTTTTGGGGATTTCTGCACAAGAGCTAAGAAGAAAGGCAGTGTATAACTGCTGCTCAGGTCTGTACTGCTTGCAATCTCTTTCCAGGCTTATGTACTTGCTGCAGATGAAGCTGAAAGGCCCTTTGGCTGTTACTGGCTCCCCTGCCCTGTGCTCAGCAGGACAGACTGGGATCGGAATGGCTTCTCTATAGCCAAATTCCTGCCGAGCAACCCTCCCATGGCACCAGCCCCTGTCTCCTGCCCATTACCATCTGCTCTGGACAGGGCCTTGGCAGGACGCCTGTGGGGGCTGTGTGCTGGGCCCTGAATGACCGAGGAGCGGCTTGTCCACTTTGTAGACTAAGGGTCAGTGGCCATTTCTAGTCGATGGCACCCTTTCTGCCAGGTCACACCGAGTTAATGGAGACAGACTCTACTTCCAGTCTGCACTTGGCCGAAAAGTGACCTGGCACACCTTTGGCCAGTTGCTTCACTCTATTTGGCCTTGATTTTTCTCATCTGCAAATTGAGGGTGATCTGCCCTACCTGTCTACCTCAGAGTTGATAAGGAGGATCAAATGTGATGGGAGGCAGGAAACTGAAAGATGCATTATCCAAATGAGGCTGTCCTTAAATGTCACCCTGAGGATTTAAGGGTTTTTTGTTGTTGTCCTTGTTGTCTTCGACCTGGGATTTTCAAACTATGCTTAGAGACCCTAGAGTGCTTTGGGGACCACCCTAGAATCAAGTGACCTAGTTGTTGGGCCAGATGCTCATTTCAACCAGAGCTGTTTTGATTTTTATCAGTTTGGCTTACTGGAGTTCTGAGTAAAGGCTGCTTTTGAAAAAAGGTTCTATTACTGAGAGAAGAGCTCGGAAACCACCGACTTAGATGAATAAATGGTATCATAATCGTGTAGATATCAACCAAGCAGAACACAATGAGCTATTCTCGAAATAAAAGCAGCTGTGATGGTGGAGTCAGAGAACTCTGATTTCAGATCGCATTTCAGCCTGTGCCAGCTACAGACTTGCTTAATTTGTGTGAGCTTCAGTTTCCTCATCTGCCAAAGGGAGATGATTACTATGCATTTCGTAGGGTTGTTGGGATGATTAAATGGGATATTGAAACATTCCTGGTAATAATGAGGATTTGTAAAGATTCCTTGTAATAACGATGATGATTTCTTTAAGCCCTACAATTATTACATGAGGTAGGTACTATTTTAAACTCCCCCTCTCTTTACTTTTTATTATGCAAATTTGCAAATGCATAAAAGAGAGTGGTATAGTGAATATTTGTCTATGTGTCTATCACTGAGTTGCATTAATTATCAAATTTGAGCTGCTATTGTTTCAACTCCTCCCTCCCCTGTTTTTAAATGAATTCCTGTTTATAGATAAAGGAACAGGTTTAGAGGGGTTAATTCTTTGCTTGAGGCCCTATGGTTTGGAAGTGATGTACTTAAGAAAGCAAACCCAGAACCACTATGGGATGGCATTGACTATCTTCTCCTAGAAATTGAGGCATCTTTTTGAATAGGCAAAATATTTGACTGTCTGTCCTATGTCCTAAATGATGACCTATTAGGAAAGAGATCTCAAATCCAGGGAGCTGTCCAGCATCTTTCTAGATGGCTGCAGGCCCACAAGACGCCTCTCAGCTAGTCTTTCTATGGCTTAATTTTTAAAAAAGATTTATTTATTTATGCATACAAGAACTGGGGTACAGGCCAGAGGTCCGGGGGGCGGGGAGGATTCACCATAGACAGAGTGGGGAACAGAACAGACAGATTGACTGAAAAACACTGCTGAGGGGAGACAGGAGAGGTCTGCTGCGCCCTGTGGGTAGCTCCCTGGCTGGGAATCAAGGGGCTCAAACTTGTGCTGCAGAGGCTGCGGACTGCTTCATAGGTTGCGTCTTAACCCCTTGCGCCACCAGGGAGACCTTATGACTTAATTTGCAGATCTGATTTTGGTGATGTTTTCTGCTATCCGTGGCTAGATAAGTAAATTCTAAAACTCTTGTTACCCCCCCCCCCACCAATTTTTTCTTGTCTCTATCCCTGTAGATATTGTAGAAACCCAGACATCTCAAGGACAGGGTACAAGGATTTTTCATCTGTTTGAGTCCCCTTCCTCTACATCCTTGCCAAGTGGGGAGCTGTCTGTACACTTTCTCAGATGGGGAGCTCATCACTTACCTTAAGTATCTGCTTCCTTTGTCCTGAGCCCTGATTGTCATAAGGCCATTTTCTTCCTGAACTGAATCTTTTCCTATCAAGCTAATACCCATTGATCTGGATTCTGCCCTTAGGGCTCCAGACCAAATCTATCTTCTCTTTCTCTCAATAGCTCTTTAGATATGAAAAGATGACAACAATATTCTTCCTGGGATTTCTTGTTTCTACAAGCTGAGTGTCTCTGGTTTTCTCTGTTTCCTCCTCACGTGCTAACGTGGTTCCTTTCCTGCCCATGCTGCTGGTCCTGTGGCACTGCAGTAACCAGAACAAGGACAGTCACCCAGGTGCGATCCAATCCATGCAGATTGGGTTCTCACTGTCTATATTCTGTATTCCTGTTAAGGTGATTCATACTACATTTGCTTTTCTCCCCAAACTGACTTCACCCCATGGACCCATTTTGAGTTCATTCATCATTTTATTCATTCATTCAGTTACTTGTTCAGCAAATATTTACCAAGCATCTACTGTGTGCCTGGCACTGTGTTAAGAGCTAGTGAGGTAGAGCTATGAGTCTGAGAAGGTCCTGCCTTGCTACATTCAAGTAGGGAAGGAAAACAGAATATGAATAACTCAAAAAAAAAATGATAACTTAAGAATGTGCAGAGAGCTGGTATTCCTGACGTAGGGAGCCAATATTAAACACATACAAGTAAACTAGATAATTTCAGTAGCAACAAGTGCTTAAATGGAAATAAAGTCAAGTAAAGCACCAGAGATAGCAACTTCAGAAGGGGAGGGCAGGAAAGGACTCTCTGACGAGAGGGGATCATTTGAACCGACCCCTGAAGACCTAGAAGGAGCCAATCAGGTGAACATGCAGGGAAGGACATCCAGGCAGAGAGAGCGCAACCTCGAGGACACTGACGTTGGAGTGGCTGGGGAGGGGCCGTGAAGGGTGCACATGGGGTGAGATGATATTAGGCGGCAGGCAAGTCTTAGAAGCCTGGAGTTTCATGGTGGGGAGTACAGATTTTAGTCTCCATGTTATGGGATTTCTAGGAAAGGGTATAACATGATCACATTCACTAGTTTTTAAAGCTCTCTCCAGCTGCTGCATGGAAATAGTTTGCAGGCGTGGAGAGAGGAATTTGGGAGAGCTCTGGGAAGATGCTACAGTAGTCCAGGTGAGGCTTGATGGTGGTGGAGGCCAGACCAAAGTGGTTGCTGTGGAGATGGAAAAAGCAAGGGATTTACTTCCAAAATTGTATTTTGAGAGAAGTCAGTGGGACTGCTGAGGATGCACAAACAGAGACCTCAAAGCTGAAACAAGACTTTGGCTTGAACCACTGGTTGAAATGGTGCCCTTTACTAGGTCGGGAAGAAAAGGGGAGAAATAGGCTTCTGGGGAGAAGTCAATAGTTCTGTCTAGTATCAATTAAACTCCAGAATTATGTTCAGTTATCTTTTAATTAGTCTTACATTTGGGCTCAGAGAATTGTGGCAAGCCACTTACTGACTCATATTCCACAATTATTCATTCATCCCACACGTCACTGAAAGTTCACGGCCCCAGAATGGGGGCTTAGATTTGCTGTTGACTCCCATTGCCCTGACTATGAAATGGCATTTTTTTTTATTCCTTCAACCAAGACTCACAGTTGTCTTCTTGGTGCTAGACCCTGTGCTGGGCCCCAGAGACATAGAAGCAGGCTGGGTGGAAGCCCTTCTTTCAAAGGAGTTCCAGCCCAGCAAGTGGGATGAACACACATGCATTTGGTAGCAGTGACATTTGACAAATGTTCCCTGTGCACCTGCTACATGTAAAACACTGGTGCAAAAGATGGGGCCTGTGTCCTCCTTCATGGACCTTCCGTGTCTTGAGAAAGGCAGATCACAACACA